GGGGGGGGGAAGGAATGGTTAAACTTAAGCAGAAGAAGCAAGTGATCTCTGTAACCAGCAATCTCCCACCCCATCCTTCTTTTTTCCCCCACTAGCTCCAAAACAAACGTTTGTTTCATACTAACAACTTTGGATTTGGAAAACACTTCTAGAAGATTTGATGTGGCCATTATATATACATCACTTACAGATTGCAGAAGATACAGCTTTTATTTAGAAACAGAAAAAAACTTTGCAAAGAAATATTTGAATAGATTGTGAGGGCCACAATGTACATTCTGGTTCACAAGAGTCTTGGCTTTAAATTCCAAAAGATGTAATTCTGTCCCCTCAAAGTCCCGGGTTTTGTGCATATGCAAACTTTATGCAAAAGAAGAACATGAGAAGCTCTCCACCGGCATATCTTCTTACTGTATTATTTAGTCTTCACTCCCGCAGCAACATTTGCCCCAACTATTTTGCATTTAATTTTCGAAAAATCCTCAAGTTTTATCAGGATTTGGGTTTTTCTCTTGTTGTGCTGACTTCAACATCTGGGACTGTCCACTGTTAAGAAACCAGCACAGACTAAGAGATTTCATCACTGCTAAAAATCAACTGATTTCTAAACATATTCTTTGAAACACAATGCAATAAAAGTTTGATACTTACCAGTAAGCGTTCTCCTCCTCAGAGTCACCCCTTCGGGACAAACATATCTGAGGTCCATGTTCTCTGGATGAATAAGTGTGCATCCTCATGGACCTTGGAAGACACTGAAAAGTAAATTCCTCTATTGCTTAAGTGCATGCCTTCAGGCCAGTTTATGCTCGTCTTAAATACTACTGAATGGCTGGCATCCCAACCTGAACTTCCCAGAAATGAGATATTTTATAAATGAGCTCATGGCACAGAAGGAAAATGTACTAGACATTTTGTGTTTAAATTAATTCTCTGGCTAGCCGGAATGGGGCAAAAAGCATTTTGTGAAATATTATACATTCCTTGCAGTGTAGGAAATGGGTCCTCCTCTACCAAACCTGCACTGCATCTACCTAGAAGCATTTCTCTTTATGATATACAAGGTATTAAATAAGTCACTGACTTACTCTAAAACAGTAAACATTTTAATTTGTACATTTTTAAACTAAACACAATTAAGAGATCTGGCAAACACATTTGCCATGAATGGTGAGGATAAAGATAAAACTAGAAGAAAACAAAAAAGCCAGAGACTAGCTACTGGTGACCCTCCATCAGGTTTCTATGGCTGTAACCTTGACCAAGGAAGACTGTCCATCTTTCTCCTGCAGAGAGCTGGTAACTGCTAGTTAGCAGTGCAACACACAACACACTCTGCCACCAGACTCCTTGATCAAGGTAACTCACTCTGTCATTGTCTCTGTGTCAGTTCTGACTCATCGCTTACTCTCCATTGGGTTTCCACGGCTATAAATGACAGGCAGGAGACTGTCCATCTTTCTCCTGTGGAGTGACTGGTGGATTCGAATCTCCAGAGGTTCACAACCTTTGGGTTTGAGCACTACTTGCTAGTGACTATGCCACCTCTCAAAGTGCAATGCCTTTCTGAGGAGCTTGCATCTTCTGAGATGTGTTTGTGCATCATAGAGTCAGAACCAACCCATAGCTGACCCTCCAGTGGGTTTTCAGAGGCAGTTAATCACATGGGAGATTGCCCATCCTTCCCCCACGGAGCAGCTGGTGGCCTTGAACCATGTGCCTTTCGTATTGCAGTGCAGCTTCTTGCCACTAGACCACCAGGTCTTCTGCGATAACACAGTGATTATTTAGAAAAGAAATAATAAGGCTTTAAATATGAAAATGGGCCTCCTAGGATAGAACAAAATACGTGATTTACTCAAAACAAAAATTCACTGCCACTGAGTTGGTTCCGACTCATAACTACTCTCCCTTGAGTTTCCAAAGCTATAAACTGAACAGGAAGAGATTTCATTCATATCTTTCTCTCATGGAAATGTTGGTAAGTTTGAATTAATGAGGGTGCAAAAGCTTTGGGATCTCAGTTCAACTTGCTACAGACCGTGTCATTTAGAAGGTCATAAATGTAGGGATTTTTAGTTATAGTAACAACATACAGCTCCTTTGATTTGAAAATTGGACTTTAATAAATTTTAAATATGAGTTGTTGTTGTTGTTGTTGTTGATTGCCTTCAAGTCAAGCATGACTCATA